TGTAATTTGTGGTATTTTTGCGTAGATGTTTCTACCTTAAAATAAATATTTTTACAAAAATAAACAAATTTTTACGAAATAATAAAAATTTCTACAAAATTTCTATTTTTGTAGTTTTTTGTAGTTATTCATCAAAATTTTTTCCGCCAGGGAGGGTATCGGAACGCACCCTAGAATTCTAGATTATCAGAGAAGCACGACCGGTTTATGGGCACAGTATCATGATGGAAGGGATAGCATGGTGTGCTCAGTTTGCGAGCGTCTCTCTCAAATTCTTTGCCCTCTCGCTTGTTTTTTGACCGTTCAAAACATTGTTGGCCAACCTCAAAAAATAAAACATTTTACTCTGCAAAGTTGTTACGACTGAGATGGTTGTCTTCATTGCACGCACGTTTATATTCTATCGGTCTCTTTTTATTTTATATTACAGTTCGAATCATGAATGTACTATACATACTTAATTGTATCTATCGTATAACCCGGTAAAAAATTTTTTATACAAGAACATATATAGATATATATAAACATTGCGACCGCACTCACGAGCGTGGTACAACTTCGTCGCTCGTCCGACAAACTCGATTCCGCGAAAACGGTAAAACTGAATCTAACGCGCGATTAATTATTACTCAGGCATCTCGCCTATCGAAAACGGAAACAAGAATTGGGCGCCAGGCACGTTATAGAGAGTGCCTCTTTACTTGAAAGTTTCGTTGTCCGGAAATCTAAAGACTCAATAAGAAATTATTCAATCACGCAATCAGACGCGAATTCGGTACGACGGTCGGACAAGGACGGCGATAACCGGCCTCTCAGCTACGGTAGTGATAGAGGAGGTGGCTCGAGGGAAAACGGTCAAGGTTCGGGAAGCGAGAATAGGCTGAAAGAAATAACAGTGATTATTAACAATGAAAATAACAATTATATTTAGCGAACAAGTATTACAGTTGCAAATACGAATAATACACGACAAGAGACAGGAACACTCGATACGCGAAGCAATGTTGCTTGCCCAAGGTTGACGGAGACTCGTAATTCACGTACTTTACGATCGTGTTGCGAGATCGTATCTCGGGAAAACGGAAAATCAAGATATATTTCTCTTCGGTTGTACGACTCGCCAATTACATGCCCCTCGCATCCGCGTGACATGCGAAATCGGAAATCATGCGCAGTGCGGGCGTGATATTCGCTAGCACGCCAGCGCGGAGCGCTCGGCGTGCACGGACAAACGTGATCGACACGCGCGGAACCGAAATTGGGAGGACTAAAGGTCCCGCGGGATCCCGCAATCCCGGAAATTCTCTAGAATTCCGTTCCGGCGGCGGAAGGCCTCTTCGGAAACGCGAATTATCACACACGCACAATGACGGAAACAATACACTACAATAACTGACTTGGCTGTGGCGCTCGGCGGGCGCGTAGCGCGACGGTCCTGTAAAAATCTCGACACACGAGGTCAGACGGGGCGCCGAAACCTATGAAATCTTTATCGGCTACAGCCGAGTCACACAACGAAAACGATAGCTAATAACGCGTGTTCCTTGCGGCCCGTCTGACACAAGAAAATCGGCGGCTTTACACAAGTGCGCTCGTCTCACCGGGAACTCCTCATCAACGGGAACGGCAGCTCGCTTCGACTTCTGCTGACTTCAGCTCGTACGCGTAACTTCGTCCTGCGTCCTCTCAGAATCGCAACCACAGCACAGGTGCCGCTGCTTCCGTGATCTCGCCGGGCCGGTGGGCCCACGTGGTACATCCGTACGCGCCCCTAATTGGCGGGCGTGCGAGCTCGCGATCTCCACGAATCGCGTAAGGTGCGTAACGCCGCGGGTCCTGTGTCCCCGCGCGCGGCATTCAAATTATCGGCGACGTCCTTCTGTCGGGGGTACCTCCAGGAACGCTTCCCTTGTGGCACGCTCAGGTGGCTGGTCCTGGGGAACTCTTCCTCGTCAGGGGCCATGCCTAGCAGCAGATCTTATTCTTGGAGCGCCCTGTCATGTCTCCGACTGCGGGGTCTCTCGCCTGGTTTAGGGCGTAGAGTGGCCATCCCCTTTA